CTAGGGGTAGCTTAAATGGTTTTTGTTTGATTGTGATGAGATGGCCATTTCCAGTCTCACTAATTACAAGAGGTTCAAAATCATCAACATGTGAGAAGATAACTTCGATGAAGTAAACAATTGTATTGATATGAAAACAATCGCAGAACATCGATCAATCTCATTATCAATTCCATCTATATCATCCTTAGGGTTCTACGTAATCCGAATAGTTTAGAAGTTTAGCTATCCATGCATAAAAATATAATGAGAAAATACAAGAGGGAAAGACATAACCATGGTAATGAAGTAGCGAGCCTAAAAGGAAAGGTAAGAACAAAGTGAGCAGAAGCTCCCCTTTGATTCTTGATCTTCTGCTTTGTCTAAATGCTTGTCTTCAAGCAAGGCATACTAGAAAGTGTACATCTCACTATACCTCTATGATGAAACATAAGTTCCGATCATAGCTAGTGGATCACAAGTAGCTTACAAGCTCAACCCTTGCACTTAGAGAATCAGAGCACGTTAGTGAGGTGCATATCTCATATGGACAAACTGACCCATCTCTTTCAATCATAAGATCTTAACTCAACTTGATAGTGTCAAAACATCTAGGGTGAATCTTTCTGTAGCTTTATTGAGACATTTATGGAAAACTCCACCTTTGTTTGAAATGAGAGTTTAGATGTTCTGTTTTTTAAATGTAGCTTACTGATTTATGTACTATTTGTAACACTAGTGGGTTTATTTGTAGTCTTGATCGAGCAAGAACAATTTGTGCACCTTAACACTTGCATAAGGGATTCCTTTAACTCCATTTTCTCGATCTGTGTGGAGAAGCAATGATAAAATCATTTGGTCGAACATTTTATGTTTTTAATGAAACCTTTTATCATTGTAGTTTGAAAAATGGTGACCAACACTACGATCATAGATACTTTATATGCATATTATAAAATGTGATGTCGGAGATCCTTTGTATGCATCAATGATTTAGGGATAATTACACATGTTTTTACCCTATTATCTTGTGAAGTTTGTGGCGTTTAGCATGTTTCAAGTCTTAGTCGGAATTGGCCTTGGGAGTGAAAGTTGAATGAAAGAGGGCGAAAATGGAGCGAAATGGACGAATAGGCAGACATCACACCCAACGTGAAATTATCACTATCAACTGAGCGTGAAGATGGACAACTTCCAGATGAATCTCGTTAGCAAGTCAGATATCACGGTCACCAGACCGTGACAATTGCCACTCGACCGTGAAGTCGATTAATGAAACGACGCATTTTGGGCCAAGATCACGGCCAGACTTCCAACATCATGGGCGTGACAATTGACCTTGAAAAGTGCCTGACTGGAGTATATAAAGAGAAGAGAGCTGAAACCTAAGGAAAGTTCTATAGTGAGATTGACTTCCTCTTCTTCAGTTAGAGAGACAAATCCACGAACAACGGAGAAAAAAGAAGGTTTTGACCTACCCAAGGCTTGAAGAGTGGAGATTTCTCCTCCAAGGATGCAATCCAAGGAACTAGATGGGAAGAAAATCATCTTAACATGGTTGTTTCTACCAATTTTGTTGTATTCCTCTTCTTAGCCGTGGAGTAGTTCCCCAATTCACTTGGGTATTGTGAACCCTAGTATAGGATGTGTTAGATGGTAGGAATTGAAATCTATGTGTGTCGGGTTTATGTTTAATATAATAATTGAGGTATTTTTCATAAATCTTGAGTGTTGTTTACCATATCTCATCTTTGGGTCAAATCGACCTAGAAGGAGGAATCCCCCCATAGCCCACTTCTTGGCAATTTGGGTAACCCCTTCTAGGGAAATTAAGGACAAACCTCAAACATGATATTAGCGCCACGATTTCATTGTGTTTGGTCACTTTTCCCCATTATGGATTAATTTCCAAGGGATTGGTTCTTGGAATCTTAGTCGAATGATTAAGAGCGCTAGGTCTCCTTGCTTAATGCAATGTTCCTTAATTGATCGACTAAGAGAGTGAGATTTCCCTACTAATTGCATCCTCGTCATGTATATGATCACACCTTTTCACGCTAGAGTTTCATTTGTTGCATCTTAATGTGAGACTAGGGGAGTGATAGGGCAAAAGCGTATATGCCAATTTCCTATCTCGTAGTAAACCGGAAAGTCCTGGTATCGTCTCTCAGGGACTGGTACAACCTTTTAATTTATCAATTCTATGGAGCAAACTATAAGTGAAAATTGTTTGAGTGATGAAACTACTAGCTAATAATTAAACAAAATAAGCAAATTAAAGTTGTCGGGAGAAAATCAATGGGAGAAAGCTCTGGGAGAAACATCGGGATTCACTACCTATCCTATTCAGATTAATTCGCACATTCCAATCAATTTAATCCATACCTCTACAGCCAGGATATCACGAACGTGCTAGCTATCCCTGTCGAGAATTACTACGTACTAAATAATCAATTCAAATCCTACTGTCGTAGCTCAATGAATTAACTATATAGTCTGAAGATCGATATCCTATTTAAGACCGCATAGCACCTTATTTAATCCACTGTCGTTTCGATAAGTTACTATGTCACATGAAACAGGTTCAGTTAATAGGGTTTCACTGTCGCTAATAACCTAATCAACTATGATTCATTGTATTGGTGGCCAGTCAACACAAAGCATTAAGCAATTTCATGCAATAGAGATTGGAAGAAAAGAATCATAAATCAATCCATCAAATCAAGAAATAGCTACATCCTATGGTGTTTCCCCCAGAAATCGGGGTTTAGTTCATGACGAAATTAAGATTAATCGATAGGGTTTTGTTCATCATATTCTAAATCAACAAATAACAACTAATTCGGTTCAGAGAATCCAACCAAATAATTGCTCTCGTTGAACTCAGCTCAAGCTTCCCTGAATAACTCGATCGCCAAGTCGCCAATCAACCCTCGTCCAAAACTGCTTGTGATGCGCCTCCTTTCTTTCTTTTTCTTCCAGAGATTTCCGCCGCCAAAAAAATCACCTCCTCGCTAAATTGCCTTCTGCTGCCTTCCAATTTACTACCGTCCTCCCACAATAATCATTCCGCCTGCTTCCTTTCTTTTCCTTCAATAGAATTCTGTTCCCACCCAAAATTCACTTGGATTAATTCCCTGGCCCAAAATAAAATTTGGTTCCCGTCCCCAGCCTTTGTCCAGTTCCTCTGGGCCTTGAGCCAAGTGATAGTCCACAAGTAATTCGAGCCCAATTTATTGCTTGTGCACTCGCTCCTTTTTCGTGCTTTCTCCACCTGTATCATATCAAACTTATGGCACTATGCAGTAATGGTTTTTCAACCATTCTCGGGTTAGCGAGCCCTAAAATAGCACCAATTGGCTAAAACATACCACAGATAATCACATAAAGTCCAAGCATTCAATATGTAAAAGCCGATTATCAGGGAGCAATTCTCGAATTCATCACAATTTACTTTCTTTGCTTTCTTTCAATTGTAGTTCTTTAGCTTTAACTCCAAATCGTTTCCTAGCTAACATTTCAAATGATTGAAGTAGGGGTACATGGACTGCACCGGGTTGTCATTTAAATACTTGCCCTATCTTACACCCTACTAGAGGTTGCACTTGCTTATAGTCGGGATTAATTGTGAAGTGTAGTCGGTAAATACCTGAATCATCGTCACTAAGTTCATTCTTAGGATGAATATTTTTCTCCATGATTAGTTTTGACAAAAAAAATCATTTTATCAGTAATGTTTTGTCTAGAATTTATGCATTTGTGACAAAGCATATACCTAGTCGATAAAGAATTTCGCTCTTTAAATTGACCAAAAAGGAAGGAAATCCATGGGGTGAAAGGGAAAAGACAAATTCAAATTCTTAATTTTATATTTGTCCAACTTTCTACAAAAAAAAACTTAGAAGCGATAATGTGAAAATACATAAATATTTTGCTGAATAGACGGCGCACTCAAGCTCGATCGATCATCACAAAAAAAAAATGAGAGGAGCTCTCTCCTCTCTCCTAAAATTCGGATTGTCGCCGATGACGCTAATGTTCTTGGAGATTTGTAGGAGGGCCGGTCAGGCTCTCCTGGGTTGCATAGCAGCGGTGATCGTGGTGGCGTTAGCAAACCAAGGAGCAGAGATGCTTCACTCGCATCGTTGGAAACAGGGACGAAATGGCGTCCTGAGGGATGCGTCGGAGGTTTCTCCCCGGCCGGTAATCACGGATTCTAAACGAGTGAAGCACAGTCTTCGTGGCTACGCTGGGGAAAAAAAAGAGCCAGATTACTCTCAAAAAACGAAAACGATCAGTTGGCGACGCTGTAAAGGCGAGCACTGAAATGGAGTGGCGGTATCGGAAACGAGTGCGGCGTTCCATAATAAAGGCTTGGCGGTTCATACTGCCATCGTCTTGCGAGATGGAATGTAATGGGCATGAGGAACTTGCACCTTCAGCGAGCTGTGTTAAGGTCTGTATCATGAAGGCAGACCCCTTCGGAGTCCGACGAAGGCCTGAACTTAGACTCCAAAATGGAGCAACTTCGTTTACCCTTTTGGTGGGAAGAAAGACGCTGGAAAATGCTCCACGGCGCCGGCGAGATTTGAAGCACTTGCTGTTTCACCGAGCTTTTCGGCACAGGATACTGAGACGTGCCCCTGATGGTATCCCACGAGATCGTTCCAAGATCTAGGCTTCACGCGTGGGTTCCGGAATTTCGGTTCGCGATAACGGCTTTGGGGATTTCCCGTGGTGGCATATCCCCGTTATAAGTGGAAAAATATTATCGGTTAGGGGGATAAATCAAAAAAGGATCCAGCAGTACCCGAAAATGAATCCTAGTGTCACTGAACATCCTTCTCCTAGGCCTTTTTATTCTCCACAAACCCGCTCCACTCCTGCAGTCACGACCATAGAGCAAGGCAGGGGGGAAAAGTGTGAGGAAGGGGATATCGCAGTCGACACTTGGGGTAATTTGGTACGTGGATAAACCCACTATATACTCTACGATTTCGGTTCATGGGGGTGATTTAATCATGTTCCAATTACCTTTAGTATCGTCTTCTTATCCTTGGTCCATTTATGTGGTGGACAAAAGGGGTGATGGTGTTGATAAACCGTTCCCGTGGATACCTTTGCAGAGAACTCTGATGGAGCACGTGTCGGCCGATCAGATCGTCCATTTCTCCATGGAGGAAATCCATTCGGACAGGGTCCGCAAAGCTCGAGTGTTGATTGGCCGGTTTTTTTCGGAAAATAGCCTATCCCTGGTGGAGCTGCGAGACTCGGTGAATACTCATTGGCAAGGTCAAGGGCGGATTCAGGTGCGACTGGCAACACACGGGCTCTATGAATTCACCCTCCCCGATGAAGCGGCCAAGCTCTGGGTCCTTAGGCGAAACCCATGGGTGATCAAGGATAGGATCCTCCAGCTCCGGGCATGGACCCCGACAATCACAAAAAGGGTCTTTGATAAACTAGCAATAGCTCCATTTCGTGTTCAAATGTGGGACATCCCAGAATATTGTTGTACCCAACATTTTGGCCGCAAAATGGCGAATGCCACAATCGGCCATGTGCTCGAAGCTTGAGTCTTCTCCTGTTCGGAATCGGAGCGAAGGTTTGTAAAGGTTAAGGCCATGATCAACTTCTCTAAGCCATTAAGATCCCAAATCATGGCCGAAAATGAAGAGATGGACCACTTCTGGATCCGGTTGAAATACGAGTACCTGCCACTTTTTTGTTTCAAGTGCGGGCGAGTCGGGCATGCGAGGCAATCTTGTGTGTTTGATCCCCCCACCCGGAAAGAGAGGTTTGGTCCTTAAATGTCGACGAAAAAAATGGGTCGCCGTAACTATGATGACGTGGAGGAGAAAAACCAATTTCCCGGGCAAGCTAAGTCGGTTTGGATCAACGCAGCAATACAGGGGCCTCGGAAAGTGGAAACCAAGAAGTAAGTAGTCATGGGCGACACTAGGCATAGTACGGGGAACAAAAGGGAGATGGCGGCAGGTGAAGCTAGTCCGCTGTGGATGGGAACTTCGGCCGAGCCATTCCTTACAACGGAGCCGACAGTTTAGAGGCGGAGGAGTCCATTTCATGTTCCTGTCGCTTGAAGCCCCAAGATCACAATTGGGAAGTTGGCTCGGAAAGGCAATGCAAAAAAACTAACGGGAGCTAGAAGTCCCGCTCGGTCCATGCGCATGGCTCGTCCAAAAGTTGATGCCCCTCCTGCACAAGAGCCTCGGCCCATGCACGTGGATCGCCCAAAAGTGGCGGATCCAATTCACGAGGCCCGGTCCATGCATGTGAAGCGCCCAAAAGAGAATGCTAAAGAAACCCGAGGGCGCATCAAACTAAACAAAGGAAAAAGGCGCCGGGGAATTTCTCCAGGATTCATGTATCTCCGAGGGACCCGATGGACGTTGATCCCAATAAAGCCGAGCCATCCTTGGCGGTCGACAGGCGGCAGCAGGAGAAGATGGCAGCTCATCGGCGGCGTCTCATCTTGGAAGAAGACTCCGAGGATGATTTTGTCCTGACTGCCATTCCGGTAATCATGCAACAGAAATGCTTGAATAAGGAAGGCAGGGAGAAGAAGGAGGTGGTGAGTGAAGCAACTGGCTTCGTCTCCCAAAACATGAAGCTTAAAATGAAGAAGGGGGGAGATGATGCTAAGCGCGACCCCACAGGAAAAACGGCGAGTGTTGATGGCTCTAAGAAGGGTGCTGTGAAGGAAAATGTTCCACAAGTGATGAAGTCACCAATTAATGGGCCAATGAAAGCCACATCCACGGATTTGCGCGAGGGGTCGATGGACTCGGAAGAGACCGTATCCGATGCTGAGCCTCCGGCCTTCGAGGTACGTAGACATACTCCACAACGGATTGGGGGGTTGAAGAGATTGGCTCGCGGTATTCAATTCAGCCAAGTGGTGCAGGCCTTTGAAAAGGGGTTAGCAATGCAAGCTGAAGGGGAGGATGGGTGGAAACACCAGGCCGAGGGCCAAAAGGGTACGGGGATTGCAGAGCCTAGTGTTACAGCAACAGTTGAGATGGGTATCCGCGAGTACGAATCCAATCTAGTGAATCGTATGGAGGGAACCAAGAAACGGCCTCTAGATAATATCGAGGGAGCAGTGGCGGAAAGCCCTACCCCAAAGAAGTAGTTTGTGGAGGACTTTGAGGGAGCAGAGATGGTGGAGGAAGCCAGCCATAAATGGCCCCAGTCAGATAATTGAGGGTGTTATCCTGGAACGTGAGAGGCATTTGAGGGAGCAGAGATGGTGGAGGAAGCCAGCCATAAATGGCCCCAGTCAGATAATTGAGGGTGTTGTCCAGGAACGTGAGAGGCATTGGACCATCCCGCACGTTCCAAATTGCTGTAGGGTTAATTCATTCAAATAAGCCGGATCTTGTGTTCTTTTCGGAAACGAGATCGTGCAGGCGATTAGTGTCCCGTCGAATGAGGGGCTTAGGTTTTGTTTCTTCTTGTTGTTTTTTTGTTGATGCTATTGAGGCATCGGGGGGTTAGTTGTTGCTTGGTCCCCCGAGGTTAACGCTTCGGTGTTTTTTCATTCCAGTTTTGTCATTTGTATCCAGATTAATGAAAGTGGGTTAGCCTATGTGGTGATTTATGTTTACATCAGTTGTGATGTGGGGGTTCGTACCTCGCAATTGGCTCACGTCAAAGAAATATGCGAGGGTCTTACGTTACCATTCGTGGTAATAGGGGATTTTAATGCTACGGTCAATGAAAGTGAAAAAGATGGGGGGAGCCCGTGGTCTCTAGCCAAATCCATTGCCTTACGCGATTTCGTTCAGGAACTCGGACTTCATGACCCTGGTTTCCAGGGGGACCAATTTACTTGGACGAATAAGCGTATGGGCCCCGCTTGTATAAGGGAGAGGCTGGATAGGGCCCTGTGCTCCCAGTTGTGGATCAATCAGTTCCCAGATACTCTAATCAAACATTTCACGGACCAGGGGTCTGATCATAGGGCTATCCTTCTTTCGGATAAACCGTATGTGCGCAATAGTAGACCTATGTTGCGATTCGATGCTCGTTGGACGGAGAATCCAGATGTCAGGGCCATGGTGGAATATGTTTGGAGGGAGGAGATTGGTGGGACTCCAATGTATCAGCTTTGGCAGAAATTGAAAAAACTACGTCATTTGCTGTACGACTGAAGCAGGGCTGGTACCACGAACTCGTTACGTAATATAAAAACCCTCGAGGGGGAGATTGATCGGGTTAAATCTTGCCATCCGATCAATTGGGATGAGGTCCGCGGTCTGGAAATAGAACTTAATCGCCAATGGGAAGCGGAGGAAGTATATTGGCAGCAGAAATCCAGGGTCCGATGGCTCAAGAAAGGCGATCAAAATTCGTCATATTTTCATACTGTCACCCGAGCGCGACGGAAAAGGAACTTTGTTTCAGGCCTCCGGGATGAGAATGGAGGTTGGGTGACTGAGGAGAGAGGGAAGGCGGATATAGCATCTGAGTTTTACCAACAGCTCTTCACCTTTGAAAACCACGTCCAGAACATGGCGGCAAGGGTAGCTACTCTACCGATAGCCCGGAATGTGACCCCGGAAATGAATGCGGGTCTTACTGAAGAAGTCCTTCCTGAGGAGATCCGGCGGACAGTGTTCTCCATGGGCTCGAAGCAAGCGCCGGGGTCTGATGGGTTTACGGGGAAGTTTTATAAAGCCTTTTGGGACATTGTGGGTGATTCCGTGATTAAAGCGGTGTGCTCCTTCTTCACATCAGGGCGTCTCCTCCGGAGTTTTAATCATACCTGGCTTACCCTAATCCCAAAGGTGGATAATGTTGAAAACATCAGGCAACTCCGCCCTATTAGTCTCTGCCAATTTGTATACAAAATCATATCCAAGATTTTATCCGCCCGGTTGGCTTGTCTCCTGCCTAAGATTCTGTCAGAAGGTCAAAATGCCTTTATCCAGGAGAGGCAAATAGTGGATAACATCTTGCTGGGGCATGAAATAATGCATTACCTCAAGCTCAAAAAGCGGGGGAAGAAAGGGTATATGGCTCTAAAGGTTGACATGGAAAAGGCCCATGATAGAGTCGAGTGGCCCTTTCTTCTAGCTATTTTAGAGAAAATGGGGTTTAGTTCTACTTGGCGGGGTTGGATTTATGAATGTCTGCGCTCGGCGTCTTTTTCGGTACTCATGAATGGCACACCTGCAGGTTTTTTTACATCGTCCAGATGGCTGAGGCAGGGGGACCCGCTCTCTCCCTTGTTGTTTGTGCTCTGTACGGAAGGGTTTGCGGCTCTACCCCGTAAAGCGATTACCGAGAAGAGGTTGGAAGGGGTTAAGGTTGCTCCGCGTGCTCCTAGGATATCGCATCTGTTTTTTTGCTGATGATTCATATCTACTTCTCCGAGGGTCTCTCGATGAATGCGAAAGGCTGATTGAGGTGTTGAATGAATATGAGGAACTAAGTGGTCAGAGGGTGAACTTGGGCAAATCGGTGGTGTTCTTTAGTAAGATTATTTTAACCCAGGATCAGGAGTTCCTAGCGCAAATCTTAGGGGTAGGGGGCTGTGGGCGTTCAGGATAAGTACCTTGGCTTGCCGTCTCTAGTTTCCCGGTCGAAAATGGCGACATTACGGTATCTGGAAGAGAAGTTGTTGGACCGTCTGCAGGGGTGGAAGCGTAGGACGCTCTCCTGGGCTGCAAAAGAAACCTTGATCAAATCGGTTGCGCTGGCCCTCCACTCCATGTCATGTGTTGCTTTAAGCTCCCACTCTCTCTCTCTGCCGGCTCTTGGATAAGCACGTGGCTAGATTTTGGTGGGGTGTGGAGGATGGCCAACCAAAAATTCGATGGATGTCATGGAGGAATATGTGTCGTAGTAAACATGAGGGCGGGATGGGGTTCAGATGGTTTGAGCAGTTTAATCAAGCTTTGCTGGCCAAGATAGGGTGGGGGATCCTCAATGAACCCCAGTCCCTGATTGCTCAGGTTTACAAAGGGAAGTACTTTCCGATGGGGTCGTTCCTGACTGCTAAGGCTAGATCGCGCCCTTCTTGGGGGTGGCAAAGCATTTTATACGGGAGGGAATTGCTGGTAAAAGGTTCCCGTTGGCAGATTGGAAATGGCAGGACTGCTCCATTGATAGACTCGAATTGGGTCCCTAGATTCCATCCTCAGGTTCCGGTGCATAACCCCCAGGTGCTCCCTGCTGATAAGGTCTTATTTGTGGCGGAAGTGATTTGCCAGGCGGAGGGGCGATGGTGTGACCAGAAGCTTAGCCAATGGTTAGATCCAGTGATGTGTCAGGCCATCAAGGCTATCCCTCTCCCTCGGCAAGAGGTGGAGGATCGTCTGATATGGCATGGGACGGCGGATGGGGTCTTCTCTGTCAAATCGGCCTATCACTTTGCGGTCCTCCTCGACCAGCAAGGAGGTCGGTGGCGGGCCACGACAAGTTGGATGGATAGGGCTAGTTGGATTCGTTTATGGTCAACTAATATCCCGCCCAAGCTGGGGGTTTTTATCTGGCAAATTTTCAATCAGATCCTTCCGACAACCGAGGCTCTTATTGAAAAGAAGATGGG